TTCTCTCCTGTATACATATATTGTATTGCCACGGCATACATGTCTCTAGAATAGCTTTAGGTTAAATAAGAAAGAAATTAGATATAAAAAAAACATGCGTGAGTGTCGTGGAACACTCGGTTGGAACAAAGTTACTTTCGTAGTTTTTTTAAAGTACTAGTAATGCTATTAAATATTCCCTTAAACCGCTTCTGGTAAGCTTAAAATGCTTGTGTTAGAAGTGGTTCACGACAGTAGTCGAATGGCGGATCCGAACCCACAACGTTTTGAGTTCGCGGTCCGCACCCTGTGATTAGGCTACTTACGCTTCTAATATATTATTATTCATAAACTATTATTGATTAACAAATACAAATAAATGAATTACTAGCGTCTATTAAAATGAAGCGTCATTTAAAATAAAATAATATTTCTTTCATGGCAAGATTAAAAAAAGTGCGCGTGAGATGGATATTATTCCGTCTCGCTTCCTTATAGCCGCCAAGGCCGTCTACACTACGTCATAAAGGGTCGTGACGGGAAAATCTTACACTTTTTCTCGCCTTGTCCACCATCCGCCGAATTCGTACCGTCCAATAAAGAACTATGTTCCAATTAATAATACTACTGCTGTGATATATTTGGCAGCATTACTATGGCAACCACTTAAGGAGTTCTCAGAATAAGATTGTATTAATAAGTTTTTTTTATAGAATTAGGGTAACAAACAAGCTCACAGTCCAATTGATGGTAAGTGGATGGCCCATAGACATCTACATTTATCCACAATTAACAATCAAAATGCAGATGTGTTATCACCCCTGAGGACTAAGATGGAATGCCTTGTTACCCGTAAAAAGGGTCTCCGGTTCTATACACTCACCATACGAAACACAGAAGCAGAGTCGTTCCATTAGTGCTACAACTATAATATAGCTGCAACATGGCTCTACCACGTATAAAGTCATCTGAAAATACTTCTAAAAATATAAAAATAAAACAAATACTAAGAACACTGAAAGAGTAACACACAAATATTAACATAAACATCTTAATTGAAAGATATGAATTTTTCTTAAATCACAAGTACACATACCATTTTAGTATGTGTATGTTATTTGTTATCAGTTTTGTCCCACTTTACAGCTGATTAAATTCCTTAACGTCTGACATGTAAAGCTGCAAAATATAATTCTTATAAATTTAATGTTAGGTTTACCTTTGAAATTACCATTTTGTTGGACTGGCCACTTTGAATTGTAATAGCTATGGTTACTATTGGAATTCTAAATTCAAATTTTTATTTTTCAAAATTGATACCTTATATATTTATAACACTTTCAATATGAATTCCTCTATGGAAACAATGTGTCTCAAATGGCACGCAATATCAATGACATATACAGACCTAGCACTATTAACAAAGAAGTTGGGTATTATTAGTTCAATATCGAAATGTTTCTCAAATGAACCTTGTGGCTGTCCAAGGAAGAAAGTTTATAATGACGAACTGAAGGCGATAGTAAATGGGGATCCGCTGCAAGCTAAGCTGAGCTAGCACGCTTTTGATGTAAGTGTCAAAACAATATTAGGTTGTTTGCAGAAAAGTAGGCACCTCACAAACAGAGTGATCCGGCTCCAAGCTTGCGTCATATTACTGAATCAACGTTTATAATAATTATATTAACTAAATAATATTAACGACTATTGAGCCAAACAGTGCAGAATACGAAATTTTAGCCAGAAGAACTTTTTGGTGTCAATTTGATGGTCTAATATTATTCATTATAGCTTTTTACCATCTGGTGCCATAGTTACTGCTGACTATTATTGTCAAGATTTGCAAATGACGGTTAAGAAGATGGCTTTCAAAGAGCCCAGATTGGTGAGCTCGTCATCCTCGCTTCTTCATGACATTTCCTGGCCACATACTGCACAGCAGATGTTGGTAAAGCTCCCAACCTCATCCGCCGTATTCTCCAGACCTTGCCTCAGACTTAAATTATTTTCGAAGTTTAATCAACTTTTTTATAGACAAAAATTGCAAAAGGCAATAAAAAATACCTTAAGACCCTTCGCACACGGCGTCGTATCGTAAGCGTATCGTAATACGCGCGTAGGACGAGAGCAATACGAGCGCGTACATGTTCTGGTGGTAGTCGTAGTGCACTGGCGAAAAATTTCATTAATTCATTCCAGTTCATTAATTTCTTTAGAAATTTAACTGAATTTAATTTTTTTTTAACTTCTTCCGACTTAATTTCAATAGGTATGAATAGAACTAAAAAAGTGATTAAATTCGTGAAACTGGGTAAAGCGTTCCCTTTTCTATATAATCATTCATTAAGTGAATATTCAAGGAAAGATGAAAGAAAAATGTCATAAATATCGCTTTCTACCATCGTACATAATCAAACAATAAAAAATTCTCTTCATCTAAAGAGAAAGTAAGATAATCTATAAATTCACCCAACACATCTGGTACTGTGGACACCATGATTTCAACTGAGATCTTACAAAACGATACGTCTACGCGACTATTCGTTTGTAGAACACTGCAGGTCTCGTAGGCGTTGCGTCATAACGATACCCTTACGATACGACTACGCTTACGACTCGTGAGCGAAGAGCCTAAGTTAATTCATCGAGGAGACTTGATAAATTTACTAAAGCAGTTTTATAGCAAAGGCATCAACAAACTGCCCGAAAATGGCAAGAATATGTTAATAGTTTATGCTTTAGGTAAATTATTTAAATTTTCCCATTCGAAACGGTATTTTCGTAAGTAAATACCTAATTATTCTTAACAAATGCAAATACAAATGCAAAGATGACTTCAATTATACCAAGGGCATTATTTTGTTGTATTTTAGTAAAAATTATCATACTGTAGAATTATATCCTAAGAAATATTAAGATAATATTTTTAATTTGAAATCTATAATTGATAACTATATCAATGATAGATTCCAAATTAAATCTATATTGAGTACACAAATGAGATTTTAAATCTAAACACAACTTATTCCGTTTTGATTTCTTCATGCATCACAGTATCATCTTTAGGATGTTACATTACTGCAAATTATTTTAGGTCCAGTTTTATTATGTAGAAAAAGTCGAGTTAATATAAGAGCAAATTCACGCTTCAAAATCTAAACGGAGTACATATATCTGATATATATATATATATATATATATATATATATATATATATATATATATATATATATATATATATATATATATATATGAGTATGTGAATAATCCATTTGTTTTATACAATTTGTTAAATTATATGAGCACATTCGCTAAGCTTACAAACTTCTGACTGTTATCATATTATTGGAAAAATGTAGCTACATATGTTGATCAGAACTGGTATTGCGTACATTTATTTTTGGACATTAGTCAATGTTAACATATGAATTAAACTGTGATTTGTAAAAACAACTTAATATTGTGCAGTCATACATTGTGTGCTATTAATAAAATGAACATACATGTTGTTACATAATATGTAGTCATGACTTATCATAAAATAAATAAAAACTTAGTCATTACTAATTTAATAAAGTTTATTAAAATGATTTTGTTCGTATGCCAAAAATAAAAACGGTAAATTTGCAAACAACAAAGAAATTTATTTTCGCCACAATTTAAAACGAAAATTGTACTTACCTATAATAGTGGCAACATCACATTCTTTATTTCGTAGGCACAGTTAACCCTTCATCTAGTGAAAAGTTATTTATCTACATCATGTTTATAAACTGCTTAATATTTTTTGTAATAAATTAAAGTGACAAATAAACTTACAGCCCACCTGATGGTAAGTAGCTGCTGCAGACCACGGACACCTGCAACCAACTGCAAATAAAGAGCTGCGTTATCACCTCTCTAAGATGGAATGCCTTACACCCTGTAATTATACTGTCTCTCTATACCCTTCAAACCAAAACTCAGCAGTGCACAGACTACTATTTGGCGGTGGATAAGTAATAAGGTGTAACCTATTCGATCAGCATCCTAGGTAGAAAAGGTACCCTACCATCTAGTAATTTTTTTCTTATAGAATAAGGGTGACAAACGAGCACACAGTCCACCTGATCGTAAGTAATTGCTGTGGCCCACAGACCTCCACATCTATCCTCGACTACGAATCAAAATGCAGATGTGTTATGAGGATTAATTACTAGCTGGCCAGGCAGACGTTGTACTCCTCTTAGCGGCGAACATCTGTACTATAAAAATACTTAAATTCGCAATAAAATATACTTGTGAGGACTAAGACGGAATGCCTTGTTGCTAGAAAAGGGGCTTCGGTTCTCTACACACATCATACGAAACACAGCAACGTTAAGCTTCTATTTTACGCTTAATTATTATTTATATTAATTACTAGCTGGCCAGGCAGACGTTGTACTGCCCTTAGCGGCGAACCTCTGTACTATAAAAATACTTAAATTCGCAATAAAAATACTGAGGGTCACTTATCGGGATAAAAATTATCCTATCTCTCAAGTTGGACCAAACAGCACACAGTGTGCACAAATTTCATTGCAATCATTTCAGTGGTTTAGGAGTTTATCGGGGACAAACAATGTGACACGTAATTTTTATACTTAAAGATTATGTTTTGCTATGTAAATAGCTTTATTATTATAACAGGTATATTTTGAACATATCAAGTGGAGCAGTCAGTGTTGCTACATTGTAAAAAAAATCCATAATTAAAGTAGAAATATATTTCAACACGTAAGTGCCTTGGTATGGTAGTTGAGTGATATCACTAATTAATTCTTTCAACGACTAGAAAAAACCACTAGCCACTAAGAGCAATATTTCTAAGGGTTGAATCCATCAGTTTTAGTGAAAAATTTACTAATTTGGCAACACTTAGAGCAGTACATTGCAGTATATGCTGTCGTCGAAGAAATTACTAAATTACATACTTCCCATGTTTGAAATAATTTTTTTAATATGTAATCTTTAATAAAGATTATTTCTTTTCTTAACAGGCTGCTTTAAAAGACCATGCCATATATAGTTCCTCTAAAGCAGCGCTAGATGCGCTTACTCGTGCCATGGCCCTTGAACTTGGCCCACATGGTATTAGAGTAAATGCTGTCAACCCCACCGTTATCATGACTGCTATGGCGAAAGTAGGATGGGCAGATCCCAACAAAGCAGCAGAAATGAAGTCCAAAATACCTCTTGGCAGGTAAGTACATTAATTAGTACATTATCGAGTTTGTGCAAAAAAATAGATATATTATTTTATATACCTATATTACTTTCAATATTGACACTACGATTTCTTAATTTCTAAAGAACTGTTAGCCACCCCAATCCATTTAAATAATATTTAAATCTTATACTTTTACATCAAAATACTGTAAAATATACAATACTAGCGGCCTGTGTGGTATAATGTTTTTTTTTTTTATTATAATATTAATCCATAAGTGATTAATAATAACCTCTGTGAATGAATTGATTGGTTCCAATCTATGCCTTAAATGTATATTTAATGAAAGGTTAATAAGTCCTGCTGGGTTTCTTTCTTGTTATTTTCAAGGCCATGGAATCCAACTAATGACAAAAGATAAAACTTTATTTATTTGCTATATAATTTTTCAAAAAAGGCTGTATCGATAGATTTCTTTTGTCCAGAGAGTGTCAACAATAATAAAAGTAATACATTTGATGGTAGTAATAAATAAAACCATTGTGTAGTGGCAGTGTAATAAAATCTACTACTCTATCACACTAATCATCCAGTGGGTGTCGTAAGAGGCGACAGGCAAATGTCCACTCACTATGAGACAATCAAGGCGAAAGGCGTCCTAGCTATGTTCTACAGTGGACCTTTGATAGGCTATAATAATGATCATCATCATTGGCACCAACCTCGGCACATCCCGATGAGGAGGTGGAGGAAATGTATGAGGATATCTGTAGAGCCATGCATTCCTCCAAAATCCACTATACGGTGTTAATGGGAGACCTCAATGCAAAACTAGGCACAAGAGAGAACGGTGAGATGAAAGTAGGGAAATTTGGAATAGGGCAACGGAACCCAAGGGGCCAGCAGCTGGCCGACTTCATGGAGAAAGAGGGACACTTTATGATGAACTCATTCTCCCAGAAGCGGCCCCACAGGAAGTGGACCTGGTCGAGCCCCAACGGTTCGACAAAAAATGAGATTGACTTCATTATGACGACCAGACGACAACTGTTCAGTGATGTCTCCGTGATCGCGAGGGTGAAAACTGGTAGCGATCACCGAATGGTTAGAGGCACACTGAACCTAAACGTTAAGTTGAAGAGGTCTCGTCTAGTGAAGTCAACGCTCCGTCCCCCTCGTGCTCTGTTCCAAAGTCCCGAAACCTTTCAGCTCGAGTTACAAAACCGTTTTCAGTGCCTAGAAGACTGCAATGAAGTGGACGATATGAATGACAAGCTCGTGGAAACTGTCCATGCGGTCGGAGCTAAGTTCTGCAAGACCCGCCGCAGAAGAACACAAAAACTCTCCGATCACACTCTTAATCTCATGGCTGTTAGACGGGAGATGAAGCTACATTCTTCAACAGATTTGACAGCATACAGGCAACTGAATAGACAGATCTCTCAATGCATGCGGTGGGACTTGCGCAACTCCGATCGAGCGGAACCAAGGCTCCAAAGTTTTTGCCAGAGATCTGTCTGCCCAGAAAGAGCCAACTGTCAAAGCTGAAGACTGAGTGTGGCAGCATCTTTCCGGGACACCTGAGATTTTGAGTGAGATTGAGAGGTTCTATGGGCAGCTGTTAATGTCATCGTTGGAGCCACACGCAAGTGTGAGTAACGATCCAAGAGCGAGTCTTATCCGACACTATTCCGAAGATATCCCAGACGTTAGTCTGAGCGAGATTAGAATGACTCTCCAGCACCTTAAAAATGGCAAGTCCCCGGGCGAGGATGGAATTACAGCGGAGCTTTTGAAAGCGGGTGGAAAACCAGTACTTGAAGTCCTTCAGAAGCTCTTTAATTCCGGCTTCCATGGTAGCACTACTCCGGAGGCGTGGAGCAGAAGTGCGGTGGTCTTGTTCTTCAAGAAAGGCGACAACGCTCTCTTGAAGAACTCCAGACCGATTTCCCTTCTGAGCCGCGTCTACGTGCTGTTTTCGAGAGTCATTACGAATCGTCTCGCACGCAGACTCGACGACTTCGAAGCCGGTTTCCGAAAAGGCTTTAGTACCATGGACCACATACATACCCTGCGGCAGATTGTACAGAAGACAGATGAGTATAATCTGCCACTTTGCCTTGAGTATGTGGACTATGAGAAAACCTTTGATTCCGTCGAAATTTGGGCGGTGCTGCAGTCCCTTCAGCGGTGCCAAGTTGACTGTTGGTATATCGAAGTGCTGAAGTGTTTGCAGTAGAGCTACGATGGCAATCCGAGTACAGAATCAGAGTACGAAACCTATCCAACTGCAGAGAGGTGTAAGACAGGGTGACGTTATATCCCCGAAACTCTTCACCGCTGCATTGGAAGATGTTTTCAAGCTACTGGACTGGAAAGGATACGGTATTAACATCAATGGCGAATATATCGCTAACCTTCGATTTGCCGACGATATAGTCCTTATGGCAGAATCGCTAGAGGACCTAAGCACTATACTCAATGACCTCAATAGTGTTTCCCAACGGATAGGTCTTAAGATGAACATGGACAAAACAAAGATCATGTTTAATGTCCATGTCACACCTATGCCGGTAGTTGTTGGGAGTTCTAAGCTCGAAGTTGTTGTCGAGTATGTTTACCTGGGACAAATAGTCCGACTAGGTAAGTCCAACTTCGACCGAGAGATCAATCGACGGATTTAACTAGGCTGGGCAGCGTTCGGGAAACTACGACACATCTTCTCGTTAGACATACCTCAAAACCTGAAAACGAAATTGTACAACCAGTGCGTGTTGCCAGTGATGACTTACGGATCTGAGACGTGGTCCTTCACTGCTGGCCCCGACCTATGGAGAGGTCTATGCTCGGGGTGTCTCTGCGTGATAAACTTAGAAATGAGGATATCCGCAGTAGAACCAGAGTAACAACAGGTCCCATCCGCAGAAATCGTGATGCTTGGTGATTTTAATGCCCACCACGCTGAATGGCTTGGTTCGCCTACGTGGATCCCAGATGTAGAAGATCATGTACCTTCCCTCTTGGACCTTCTGCTGACTTAATATCAGGTCTCCGTCGATATCCCTCTTGGCTCATCGAACCATTGTCTGATCCGGAGTAAGGTGACACTCACGCATCGCGGTTGCGTACTGCAGGTTGCCGCCGTGTTGGCATTATAGGTTAGCCGATTGGGACGGGATGCGATCTTTTTTTGCATCCTACCCTTGGAGGTGGGTTTGCTTCTCGCCGGATGATCCCAGCGTTGTTGCTGATTCTGTCGCTGATGTAAGATACAGGGAATGGAACTATTTATTCCATCATCTATGGTACCTATCGGAGGCAGAACCCAATCATGGTTTGGTCGCTCCTGCAAAATTGCATTACGTCATAAGCAAGAGTGCTACCAGCCTGGGCTCGCGCATCGACATCTCGGAATGCAAATACCAGCGCTCTTAAAAATAAGTATAATTCCGCCTCCAGGCCCTTCAAAAGTGTCATTGTCAAGGCAAAGTCAGAGCGAAAACACGTGCATTCTGGTCTCTCGCCAAGGCTGTCCAAAGGAACTTCTGTCAGCCATCTCTCCCATCTCTGCACAGGGAGGACGACTCACTAGCCCACGCCGCAAAGGACAAAGCCGATCTGCTGGGCTCTCTCTTTGCTTCCAACTCGACTCTTGATGACGGGGAAACACACCACAGACCATACCGCGGTGTGAGTGCTCCATGCGGGATGTGCTGTTCACCCAGCGCTCGATGCGCAGAGCACTCGTCTCCCTGGACGTCAAAAAGTCCCTCCTATTGTGCTGAAGACGTGTGCTCCAGATTTGGCACCGGTTTTAACGCGTCTCTTCCGGTACTCCTACTCCCTAGGTGTAGTCCCGAAATCATGGAAGACAGCTTTTTGCACCCGATCCGTAAAAAAGGTAACGATTCTGATCTGTCCAACTATAGCCCTATCGCCATCACCTCCTTGTTCTCTAAAATAATGGAGTCCTTTATTAACAGCCACCTCATGCGGTACCATAAGGATCATCTGCAGATTAGTGACTGTCAGTACGGTTTCAGTCGCGGTCGCTCGGCTGGTGATCTTCTGGCTAAGTCATAAATGGGCGGAGGCAGTAGAGTAGGGTAGGCTTAGGCCATTAGTTTGGACATAGCGAAGGTCTTCGATCGGGTTTGGCATAAAGAGCTTCTTACGATGCTTCCTTCCTATGGGCTTCCCGAGAAACTGTGCAATTGGATCACCAGTTTTCTTGCAGATCGGAGCATCAAGGTCATAGTAGACGGTGCATGCTGCGATTACAAGCCCATTAACGCTGGTGTTCCACAAAGGTGCGTGCTATCGCCAACGCTGTTTTTTCTGCATATCAATGACATGTTGCAAACCGGTAACATTCATTGCTATGCGGATGACAGCACTGGTGATGTTTTATACACCGGGCGTGCTAATATTTCTCGGGAAAACGTTGCCGAGTACCGGGACAAACTTGTGCCTGAAGTCGAGACTTTGTTGAACAAAGTCTCGGACTGGGGGCGACTAAATCTAGTTCAGTTCAATCTCCAGAAGACACAAGTTTGCGCGTTTACCGTTAAAAAGAACCCCTTCGTTGTATCTCCTCAGTTTCCTCAACCAGTATCGGAATCCTCGACGTCGACATATCGAGTGACGTGCAGTTTCATGGTCACTTGGAAGAGAAGGCCAAATTGGCCTCTAAAAAGCTTGGCGTGCTCAGCAGAACGGGACTGTATTTCATGCTGGCACACCGCCTGCAACTATACAAGGCGCAGGTTCGGCCGCACATGGAATACTGTTCCCATCTCTGGGCTGGGGCTCCCCAGTGCCAGCTTCTTCCATTTGATCACATCCAGCGCAGAGTTGTTGGAATCGTCGGCGACCGAACTCTTTCCAATCGGCTTGACTCACTGGCACTGCGAAGAGATGTTGCATCTCTTTGCGTATTTTATCGCATTTACCACGGGAAGTATTTTGAGAAATTGTTCGGACTAATTTCAGCCGCACAATTTCACCATCGCACATCGCGACAAAACTTTTGCAAGTTTTGCAAGTTGCGCAGGATCTGGATGACTGGCGGTCCACCACTGTGCGATTTAAAAGAAGTTTTTTACCTCGCACAACTTCCTTGTGTAATCGACTACCACCAGCGATTTTTCGGGACCGATACTAACTAACTTAGGGACCTTCAAGAAAAGGGCGTAGTACTTTTTAAAAGGCCGGCAACGCATTTGCAATTCCCTTTGTGTTGCAGTTGCTCATGGGCGGCAGTAATCACTTACCATCAGGTGACCAGTATGCTCGTTTGCCACCTCTCCTATAAAAAATTAGTTTTCCTTACTTTTTTTAACATAACATTTCTTAACCCATAGCTGGTTTTATAGGCCTTTTCAAGAATGCACCAATTACATGAAATGTTGACTTAAATTTGCCAGGCTGGGCTGGTCGGTGTGATAAGATCCAATATCCCTACACTGACGATTTTGCATATTAATTAAAGAATTATGTTATTTAATTAATACTTAATATAAATAGATTAGAGCAGTAATGTTCTTTGTCTAATTTACTTGTCAGTAAACTAAATTCGTGAGAGCCGCAGTACCCGCACTCTTCTTCATCGTCCTGCGCCAATCTATTGCTGGACTTGCAAATTTCCCATTGTAAAAAGACTTGATGTTCTAAACAGTTGTGCTAAACAGTTTGATGGGTAATCGCAGTACCAATATACATTGCCAATTTTGTTTTTACTTCTGCCACTTAAAAGATACTTATAATGCATTATCATACTTTTCTTAAAGAATAAGAATGACAAACGAGCACACAGTCCACTTGATGGTAAGTGGATGATGTGGCCTATAGACATCTACATTTTCCTCCATAAAAATTAAAATGCAGATGCGTTGTCACCCCTGAGGACTAAGATGGAATGTCTCGTATTCAGTAAAAGGGTGTCCGGTTAGAGAACACTAGAACTGTAGAGACACTCACCATACCAAAACACGGCAGTATTGAGCTGCTAATTTAATGTTTGTATTCTGTGAGAGCTTGGTCCTTCCACGGTTGGGCCGACCCATACGTGCTACAACCATAATATAGCTGTCTAATATAATATGGCTCTACCACCTCTAATCATGTTATCTTGTTTACAGGTTTGGAGAGGTTTCAGAAGTAGTTAATGCTGTTGTGTTTTTACTCAGTGACAGATCTAGTATGATCAATGGCGTGGAGCTGCCTATTGATGGAGGATTCCTTGCCACATAATACATTTGCATCGTTCAATCAACCCAGTCATAAATAATTAAAAAATTGACTTAACTATTTTAAGTGTTTCAATCTCTTCGTATACTGCTGCCTAAGATCTGTTAATACAATTTATTTTTTTACTTTACTTACCAAAGAGTTAAGTAATTTTAATGTGTTAAAAAATGCCACTTAGTTCTTCGAATAAAATTTTTATATTGCATTGTCTTTATTGTGTCATTAAATTCAATTGTTTAGTTTAAAACTTTAGGTATAATATGTAATTTTATAACCTTATAGCACCAAAACAATTTAACAGATATTTTATTGCTGTATTAATAATAAATTAACATTTTGTAAAGTTACTAATTAATTAAGGTTTTCAGTATTGGATAGTTTCTGTCACGGTTTGTTCCGTGGTTTCTGTATTCACCAGATTTGCTATGGTGTACCAAAGTATTCTCATCGTGTACACAGCTCTATTGTTATCTATCAAATCTATTCCTATGGGTGAAAGCTTGTTAAATCCATATACCAGTGGTTCTACAAAGCGTGTCTCATTATCTGATTATACCTGTAATCTTCCCTGTGGATTTGATCAACATGTTTTATCCTTCTGTCTAGTTTTCAGAACCAATAATTAACCAAGTATAAAACTTATTTATGATATCATAATTTCGGGTGACATACAAGTTCTATGGAACAACCTATTTGACTAATACTGAACATCTTAATTAATGTCCCCCTAAAATTGAAAAAATATAAAAAATCATTATGTACGCTTCCTTAAAATTTTACATATCGTTTGTAAAGACAACTTCTCAATATTTTTAGGCAATTAACAAATGAGCGACATCTTCATTATAAAGGCATTAGTTAGACAAAAAAAAACACCATCACTTTAAAAATCAGTATCGTTACCACGGCTGTAACCTAACGGTGATATTTAAAATTAAATAAACGATTTATATAAATTAACTAAAATTACACTTATTCTATTAAAATTGTCATTGTCCAAAGGCCATATTGTTTGAAATAATAAATATTTTGTTGGAAAGGATTGTTTTGTTTGATATTTTTCCTTTTTAGGGTTCCTTACCTCAAAAGAAAACTATAAAGGATCATTTTGTTATGCGTCTGTACCTCCGTCAATCCGTCTGCCCGTCTGTCAAGACCCTTTTTTTCAACAACGGATAGAGGTAGAAAGTTGAAATTAATATTAAATATTAATTTCCACAGGCCCTTGCGACCATTTGTCCCAAAGAGGTGTTAATTTATTGGCCAAAGTCTCTCGCTTCCAACCTTTTGTAGACTGAAAATTTGCCTTATACATAGCCCATGTCCACAGTGCGAGCCTAGCGCGGTTGCGACGACGGGCGCGAATTATCAAACATATGAAACCGCCGTTTTCGTTCATAGTTGTAGAGTCTCACAGTGGTAGCGCCACGCGGCAGCTTTTGCTGTCGCACGGTTGGGCCGGCTCGAACCGGGGTGGTACCACGACCTCACAGAAAACCAGCGTGAAGTAGAAAATCAAAAACTTCAAACCCTCGTAAAAAATTTCAGCGGCATTTGCGCCAAAAATCCCTTTGGGGTTTTTCATCATTTATGTTGGTAAACATGTAAAAAAGTTTTGGTCCGAATCGGAGGTGTCCCTAGAACGAAACTACCCAAAATTTCTATTAAATAGGACAGTAGATGGTATCGCGAGTGTACGATGGTGAAATTAAGCGGCTGGAATTAGTCCGAACAAATCACTGAGCACTCCCCGTGGTAGATGCGATAGAATATTCAGAGGTGCAACATCTTTTCGCAGCGTCAGTGATTCAAGCCGATCAGAAAGAACTTGGTCGTCCACGATTCGAACCGCTCTGCGCTGGATGCTATCTAATGGAAGGAGTTGGCACTGTGGTGCCCCGGCCCAGAAATGAGGAGAGTTAGTATTCCATGTGAGGCCGAAATTGGATCTTGCAAAGTTGCAAGCGGTGTGTCGGTATGAAATATACTTACTATCCCGCTCTTCAAAGCACGCCAAGGTTTTTAGAAGCCATTTTGGCCTTCCCTTCCAAGTGACCGCTGAACTGAACGTCATTCGATATGTCGACGCCGAGGATTACGATGCTAGCTGAGGTTACGAGGAGAGTGCCTTGGAATTGAGAAGATAAGTACGACAAAGGGGTTTTTAGCGGTAAACGCGCAAACTTGTATCTTCTGGGAATTGAAGACTAAATTTAGTCGCCTACAATCCGAGACTGTTCAGCAAAGACTCGACTTCTGACACTAATTTATTCCGGCACTCGACGATGTGTTTCTCTGTAATTAGCAATCCAAAAGCGAGTCACTATCCCTACGATATCCCGGATGTCAGTCAGAGAGAGATTAGAATTTCCCTCCACCAACAAGCAAGGCAAGGCCCCGGACCAGGATGGGCTGGATGAATTGAACAGCGGTGCTACTGAAAACGGGTGGAGAACCGTACTTCAAGTACTTTAGAAACTGATCAATTCTGTCCTCTATGGTGATACTACTCCGGAGGCTTGGTGCAGTAGTGAGGTGGTGACTTTTTTTTATAGGATAAGGGTGACAAACGAGCACACAGTCCACCTGATGGTAAGTGGTTGCTGTGGCCCATAGACATCTACATCTATCTTCGATTACGAATCAAAATGCAGATGCGTTGTCACCCGTGAGGACTAACATGGAATGCCTCGTTTCCAGTAAAAAGAGTCTCCGGTTCTCTACACTCACCATACGAAACATAGCAGTGTTAAGCTGCTATTTGACGCTGGTATTCTGTGAGAGCGTGGTCCTTCCCCGGTCGAGCCGACCCATTCGTGCTACAACCATAATGTAACTGCAGCATGGCTCTGCCACGTATTTGTTTTCAAGAAAGGCGACAACGCATTTACAACTTCAGCTTTGAATCACTACAGAGTACAGCCCGAACTGCCTTTAACTTACCCCTACGTGCAGTTTTCGAGAATCTTTGGGACTCATCTGGCAAGCAAACTTCGCGCCTTACAGCTTCTCATAGGACAAACTACGTTTTTGTGAGATAACAATCTTATTTTTTGTTATTAAATAAAGAACAAGATTGCGTAAGTCGTTTGTTACGTCACATTTTATCATGGCAATATAACAATACGAGTATAATTATTATCGTTATATAAGAGGTATACTGTCCACTTTGGAACATTTAGATAACAATGTTTATAGTTCATTTAGATACATCAATGTAAACATAAAATGTTTAAGAAACATTTTATAGTGTGAGCGCGACATCATAATAAAATGGACAAATATTTTGAAAGCAAAAGAATATTGGTTACGGGGGGTTGTTCAGGTAAGAAAATAATATTTTCCGATTATCTAAATCAATTAGATGTAGTCCTATTAGTTGGGAACAAGTTAATTCTGATTACAGATCTAAAACTACTATGTTGCTAATGTTTCACTGGGTTACGAACCCCAAACCAACAGCGCATAGTCATGATCACTAGCAGGTATACTATTAGATATTCAGTGAAACAGTCGTTAGAAATTAACATAATCACAAAGATAACAATTTAGGTTGGTAAACGTAATTGTACTTTTCTAGATGTGGTAGAATTCTTTTTCTGTAATTGCAGTCTGTTAAGCATTGGACCAGTCTTAGGAAGTGGCAAACGCATCTTTAGATCAATAATGTTACTGCATCCCTTTAGAACAAACTTTAGTGCTTACACGGTAAACGTGACAAATACCTTACAGAATAAGATTTAAGTTTCATAAACCAATTTTAAGTGCCTTTGTTAAGCACATATGTTGATTTAAAAAGTGCAGACAACGTCATTTATTTCTATTAATTCCTGCTTTTTTGTTCTATTGATTATGTCGATGTTCAGAACCACAATAAAGTTTGTTAAAAAAGAAGAAATATAAATATATTTTGTTTAGATTATGTGCTATACTTATAACCCTGGCTATTTATGAGGGCAATTCTTATGGTCTTACTTGGCTTAAATCAAAGACATTTAAGTAGTGTGTGTATGTGTATATATATATATATATATATATACTACTTAAATGTCTTTGATTATATATATATATATATATATATATATATATATATATATATATATATATATATATATTAAATCTCTTTGGCTTAAATATGTATAACTCCAATGCTAGGGTAAAATGACATTTGACAAACAGATTTTATTTTCTTACGTCGACGAAATAAATAGGTATATTATTTCAATGATGGGTGGATCATCAACGTACATGATATAATTTCTGGGGCATTCTTACCTTTTCCTGCTGCCAGGCAGCTAAATAATACATAATAATCTATACAGGCAGATCAAGCATGAAGTATTCTAGTACTCTTAGCTATGAAGTATTCTATCAGAGTTTTCAGATGTTACAATACACTCTGGTCTTTTTTGAAAAAAAGTTTACAGTTGTAATAACAATCTATGATTGCAGATGTCCACAGCTTGCAATAGCCATTTTTTTTATAGGATCGGGTGACAAACGAGCACACAGTCCACCTGATGGTAAGTGGTTACTGTGACCCATCGACATCTACATCTATCCTCAATAAAGACTCAAGATGCAGATGCGTTGTCACCCGTGAGGACTAAGATGGAATGCCTCTTTGCCAGTGAAAAGGGTCTCCGGTTCTCTACACTCACCATACGAAACACAGCAGCGTTAAGCTGCTATTTTACGCTGGTTTTCTGTGAGAGCGTGGTCCTTCCCCGGTCGAGCCGACCCATTCGTGCTACAACCATAATATAGCTGCAGCATGGCTCTACCACGTAGAAATTTATCTCATTTGCCACTTTAAAAATATCATCGTCATTACAGCCTCTCACGACCCCAATGCTGAGTGTAGGACTATCCAAATAGCACGGCACTGAGCCCGCACCTTTGTCATTGTGATCACTTTATCTAGTGGGGCAAATAGCACGGCACTGAGCCCGCACCTTTGTCATTGTGATCACTTTATCTAGTGGGGCAAATAGCACGGCACTGAGCCCGCACCTTTGTCATTGTGATCAGTTTATCTAGTGAGGCAAATAGCACGGCACTGAGCCCGCACCTTTGTCATTGTGATCAGTTTATCTAGTGGGGCAAAGAGCACGGCACTGAGCCCGCACCTTTGTCATTGTGATCACTTTATCTAGTGGGGCAAATAGCACGGCACTGAGCCCGCACCTTTGTCATTGTGATCACTTTATCTAGTGGGGCAAATAGCACGGCACTGAGCCCGCACCTTTGTCATTGTGATCACTTTATCTAGTGGGGCAAATAGCACGGCACTGAGCCACGTGCATCCATCGGCTCCCTGCAGATTTTCCAATTACGGCTTAACAATAGTGGCTGCCATTCGAGACTTTCTTTCACATCGGTTACTAATTCTTCTAGTCATAATAGCCGGATATAATAACGGTATTCCGTTGTGATGCTAGTATCTCGTGTGGGTAACTTTGGTTCTCTTGTGTTGTAAGCACGTAACACTAACCAAACCTAGCACTCTCTACAGTTCGATGACCGACCCATATTTGCTCCCCTTGGCAGCAGTTGTACATGATATTCATCACTTTTTGATGTGAAGGGCTATGCACTTGAAGTGCTTTTCGAAGCCCTAACTGTCTGGGTGGCCCAAGTATTTCATGTAGGTACCTATTTCCAACTTTGACTTCATACCCAACTACCTGGTCCTGGTCCGTGTTAGTTTGCGAAGCTACATCTCTGCTGTCTCAATCTCAACTAATGGATTTCGGCAATAAAAACTTTTAGCCAACTTCAAGGGTTCGAGAGTTTAAAAGTTAGAGAGTTTCAAAAGGACCTAAGTCCTTTCGAAATTCTCTAACTGACGGTAGGTCTTCAGTCCGACGTCTGCATAGCAAATAACGGAGCGTTATTTAGAGATCGATTCACAGATTACGTCGAACACTTCCATTGGAAAGTGCCCAACATCGAATTACAGGAAAATGCATAATTTATATGTCATCCTGGAATTTTGGTTGCTACTATTACTTAACCTTTATGTATGTAGGTACATATCGGGGTTTGTTTGTTTCGCCATTAGCAATATTAAATCGTGGACTGTGTTCATCACAAGTTTCTTTGATGCTGTGTCAGAGCATTGAGAGTTCTTGCTATGCTGCCTCCTAGATTCAAGCGCCCTAGGCCGTCACCTCTCGCCTATAATATGTACGAGTCCGATTTGCTTCTCATATTTATGATCAATGTTTTAGCAAGTGCAGCAAGGAACTATAATTCAAAAGATAGGCTTGAATTATAATTCCTTGCTTTATGATTAAATGAATGCTTTTTGCAGGAATTGGAAGAGGAGTTGTATTAGAACTATGGAGACTTGGCGCCAATGTAGTTGCGCTGTCTCATCAGGCCAAGAATCTTGAAAAACTGAGAAGCGAGTATCCGTCGATAGAAATTGCTTGCGTTGATGTTCGTGACTGGGATAAAACTCGCGGAGTTGTCGATTCATTGGGAGTTTTTCACGGACTAGTTAATTGCGCGGGAGTAGGGCTTATGGAACCATTTTTAGAATGTAAGCCGACAACTTTCGACGAGTGAGTAGTTGTTAATTTTATTTGGATATACACATAGAGCCGTCGTAGGCACACAGGAGCTAGGCGCTCGATGTAAATTTATCAATACGTGAGTCGTGAGCAACCCGGATTCCGGCACCAATGAAAGACGAATCAGTGAAATGCTGCCTACCCGCCCGCATTCCTTTTAGTTACCGTGACAGGTGACAGCGCAGTGTCGCGTTAACTGTAAACATAGTGGCTTACGGCTATATATAACTTTTGGCGTCGGCCAAAAGCAGTGGTGAATGAGCAATTTTATAACACATAGACGTTTACTTGGGTGGTTTAACCGTGTAGTGGCGGTGTAAGAATATCCGCTACCCCATATCCTCCCGAGAGTGTCGTAAGAGGCGACAGAGGGAAAATGAAACAGGATATTGGCAACAACCTCTTCCTGATAACAACACAAAATAATTTAAAAAAAACTGCGGTTGCCAACCCGCTTGCCAAGCGTGGCAACTATTGCATAATCCCCCCGTGAGGCAACCTATGAAGGAGGCCTATGTACAGCAATGGTCTTTTATATAATATAGGCTGTAAAGGAATGGATGGTTTACTTGGGCTGTCAAATCACGACGGCCATGACGGGGTGTGAAAGCATAACTCCTCCAAGTGAAAGTATGTGGAAAGCTATTAGTTAAAGATTTCCACCCTAAAAGTATTAAAAGGAGGCAAATATTTAGCGATTATTTTTTAAGCCCTTAAAAACTGAATAAATATCAGAGTTTTATCGTTAACTACAGTGTACATATGTTGTTAACCATTATTCTTCTTCATCGGCTCTTGAAGGTTCATCGCTGGACATGGGCCGCTCTTACTGTTGGAATTGACACACAGTACCAAAGGTTTCGCACCCTTAATCATCCCATCGGTGATTTGCTTATTTTACGCCTGACATGGAGTATTTTTTAATAGTAATTCTGGAATACTTTTTAACCAGTAATTCACGTTGTAGTCAACAATTCCCGACGGGACATGAGGCCCGATAAATTAGTTTTGTTGCAAAGCTGTTTTTTCTGTGCACTTTGATGTGTGTTTTGCAGCGATATTTTATTTTTAACTAAATAATTTTACATTACTAAAATTTTTGATTTAAGAAGTTGGAAAAAGGGAAATTGGTTCCAAGACTTATATGGGCATTTTACGTGGCTTTCTGACCTTGGTTTTCGTCAATCGCCTTACGAAACACAGAAAGAGCCTTACTGCCATTGTAGGCCCTGTTCAGAGAGAAGTTGTCGGAGGACTTTTTTGTCCGCCTGTTGTTACGGACTCAACGCATACTGTCATAGCCCAGCGTGATAATGTCATCATGTTGCAATTAATTTTTCAAACATTTTACCTAAAACTTAGTGATTATATTATATTTGATCACACTTATATATTACTCCTACATGCCAATTAAATCAAAAACACTTTTAAACGCACTTATACATAATAAAATATAAAATTTTCTTTTCGTTGCAGATCTATAACAATTAATACAAAAGCAATTCTCAACATAACACAAGTTGTTGCTAAAAAAATGATTAATAATAACATAAAAGGCTCTATCGTAAATATATCTTCACAGGCTTCTAAGGTAGGTGCTAAAACAAAATATTTGTTTATTCTTGCATAAAGTAGTTATAAAATTAATACGTATTAAGGCAAATTTAATATCAATTAAAAAATAAAATTTTTGTTCGGTGTAGGGAAATCCTACCTAATTAGTATATATCATAGTTTATTTTAATCTGTACCCCTTACTAATAATATAAACGAGCGTGTTCGTTCGTTGTTAGTTTTTCCCTCTTTCTTTCACGCAACAACGAATCGACATGAGTTTTGCATAGGGAGAGTTTATGGGCTGGAGTCATCCTGTTGTGCATCACAGTGCATCCTGTTACTGTGAGATGGTTCTGGAGCGTAAATCTGTTGTTAGGCTAATAACAGATTTACGCTCCAGAACCATCCCACAAGGTAAATAACTTATTACCTTCCTTTTCATGCGAAAACAACTGAACTAAATTTTGTAAAATTTAGTGTGAAGATGGCTTAGGTTTTGTTCCTGTTCCTATTTTTCCCTCTTCGCTACTAAAATGACTGAACGGATTTAATTTTTCCCGTAGGTTTTTTGGAAATTTTAATTTAGCTGCATTTAATTCAAATCAAACTCCGTGTTTGGGCGTGTTTGTGTGCTTACTAATATCTATAAGTATGTGTAAAATAAATGACATCGTGTGTGGTAAGCATTAAGTAATGATGATAAAAAGCAGTAATGGTTCCTCTTCAGCTGTCGAATAAATACCCAAAAAAATCAAACGGCTCACAATCAAAACAATGTATACGAGTGAATTAGTTTTTGCTATGCTAAGTCAGTGCGCTTTGCCATCTTTGGTAGCATCATCATTTACCATTAAATGGGATTGTAGTCGGGCAATGGCTTATATAACAGTTAAACAAAATACAAGCACGCCATTACAGAAGATGTCGCGCAGAGGCTACAAGACACACATTATTATTTAAGTATCAATGAAGCGTTGAAGTTAATTGAAGATAGAATGATGTCAATATCTGGCAAAAAGTTAGCTGATTTCACAAAAAACCGACCAACATGGAGCGATGGGCATGACGAGTATTGTGACCACACTACGTCTCTGCCTTCATTCCTCCCTACTTGCCATGCAACTCGAAGAGTGTGTGGCAGGGGGGTTAGAGTTAACGGGCATGCATGAGCTCGCATGTGTTGTAGCTAAAAGATGGCATTCCAGCTATGCTGATGCGATACATCGAGATTATGTAAAAAATACGGCGAAAGAATATAAAGGCGACAATTCTGACTGGAGCAGCTAAGGGAGAGTATATTTTGATAATCCGCATTCCTACTACTAATACCTATCTATATTAAAAGAAAAACAACATGGCTATGATTTTTCTAAAATTATGTCGTTTTCCAATGCCGTAATATTTTCACTAACTGCTACACCTAGATGTGTCAAATTATCACTCCATGAGGTTGGCTGGTAGAGAATGCCTAATAAATTGCTTTATTTTATGAAATTATATCTTTAAATAAATAAATGAATAAAATTACACAATTAGGTAGGTAAGCTACACGAGTAAAAGGAGAAGTGTATCATCTATGTAGTTTGAGGTTCAGATCGTTTAGATGAACAGCTGCAGCTTATTTGACTCGCCGTTTACTTAATGGTTAGTTGGCTGGCTAGAAGGTAAAACGCCTTTTTCTCGTGAGGAAAACCCTACGCATACCCATCGCTGTGAGGCATTCCATCTTAGTTCTCAGAGATGACTTAGTCAACTATATATTGGAAATCATAAGATTTTTTTGACATAGGTATCCCATAGTTGCCTCTTACGACTTACATGCTACTAAATGACATGATCTATTACTACCAGACCTTTCACACGGTTTTTCTAATGTTCTACTTTTATAAAATAATTTCCGAAACACTTTTTAACTAACAACTTATTAATTGTATTAACCTTAATTGATAAACATTTTAGGCAGGATTAAAGGATCACGTTGCATATTGCGCTTCGAAAGGCGCCGTAGACGCAATGACTCGAGTGATGGCTATAGAACTTGGACCATACGGTATACGTGCCAACACAGTGAACCCTACAGTCGTTTTGACCGATTTAGGTCGTGAGGTGTGGGCCGATCCCAATAAAGCGCAAGAGATGAAATCGAAAATTCCGCTTGGCAGGTATTGCTCTATAGATATTTAATTATGTTTTTTCTTTAACAGCCTGTGAAGTCCACAGCAGACTATTTTCACCTAAAAAGAAAACTAAGCGAAACGGAATTTTGTCATTACTTTATTTATTTTTTATTTTATTTTTACTTAAAAAAATACTAGTAATACTATTAAACATTATTAACATTCTCTTAAACCACTTCTGGTAAGCTTAAAATGCTTGTGTTAGAAGTGGTTCACGACAGTACTCGATTGGCGGATTCGAACCCACGACCTTTCGAATTAGCGGTCCGCGCCTTGCCATTAGGCTACTGACGCTTCTAAACCTACGCGGTAACGGAATAGTCAGCCGGGGTCTATACTAATAGTCACACCTCTGCTCCAACCAGTATACCTATGTGCTCACTGTCTCGTTGCTTTACTGGTAGGAAACGCGATTGCAGATCATGAGGTTCGAATCCTGGGTTGGACCAATTTCAATTATTGGGTTTTTCTGGCAACAAAATTCTCAGTATAGCAGCCCAAAGTTAAGATGTTGGCGATGTTTCACCTCCGTGCCTCGGAAAGCACGTAAAGCCATTAGTCCTGCGCCTGATATCTCTCCGGTCGTGTCGGTTTTACCGCGCCATCGAACTATGAGAGAGAGGGAAGAGAGTGCACCTGTGCTTGCGCATACACTTGGGCACTATAATCCTGTCCTGCACAAATGGCTAGCCTCCGTTGAGACTGGCTGCCGTGACCGAAATTCGATCTGACAGGCAAGACATTATTATTATCATTATTATTACCTATGTGCTCAATAGTTATACGAGATCAAACAAATTATAAATAATATTATGTAATTTATCAACTACTTTTCAGGTTTTGTGAGGTACAAGAAGTTGTTGACGTAATAATATTCCTGCTGAGTGACAAAGCAAGCATGATAAATGGAGTCCAAATGCCAATTGACGGAGGATTTCTTGCAACATAAATATAAATAATTGTATTACACAAAGCCCAAAAATAAAAACACTGCATGCAATAAGGGTGCTGCTTTTGAACTTTATATGCAGTTTTCATGTACTACAAAAAAATTGATTTTTGATTTCATTTAAAACAGTGGAAGCAAATAGATTGTTCTATCTGAATCAGTTTTACAGAAAAACAAGTAGTCTAGAATAGCTATACAAGTCCTGAAATATATAATACAATTCCAATATCTTTGTCATGTCATCGGGTTGACATTATTATCGAAGAGAATAGAACCTCATTGTCTTAAAAACTCCTAAGTGCTTTTAGTGTTTCTAAACGAGTCACAATCTCATTGCAATAGTATTGCCAGCAATGTCAGAAATACAGTGATAATATTTTTAGTACTACAACAAATAATAGCAATAAAGCCATAGATATTTAGGATTTAGTTGCAGTTTTGAGTGTTGCGAGATGATCGTTCCGTCTTCAGAAGACCCTTTTTACTGGAGAAGAGGCATTCCATCTTAGTCCTCACGGGTGAAAACGCATCTGCATTTTGATTCTTTATTGAGGACTAGCTGTTTCCCGCGAATTCGCCCGCGTGTAATTTAGGTTTTTTATTTTTGCGCGGAACCCTAATTCTTTGTCTAAAACAAAATTAGCCTAAGGTACTCCATATAACAAACAGACAGACAGACAGACAGACAAAAATTTTAAAAATTGTGTTTTTGTTATAAGTATCATATATACTTTCATATGCATTTAGTGTAAAGCTGTTATTTTGACGTTACAAACAGACACTCCAATTTTATTTATTTGTATGGATAGATGTAGATGTCTATGGGTCACAGCAACCACTTACCATCAGGTGGACTGTGTGCTCGTTTTTCACACTATACCATAAAAAAAATACTGTAATATGGTCGAGCCGGCTGTATAGTTGCTTCTGTAGTTGTGCATTTTGAAGCGACGTGAAAATTGCTAGTGACGACAACGCATTATGGGAGAAACAGACTGATCCCACGTACGCAAAGTATGCGATGCAACGCTCCCACGTTGGTGTACACACTTGACCTACGTATGCAATGTACGTTTGGCGTCAGACACTCTTGTCACTTGTTAGCGAACGCACGAGTACAAATTTATAGCATGTTTCCTAATTCTGGGAGTGAGTTTGAGAATGATTTACTTAGTCTGATGTTCATAAATGAATACATCCACGCCATAAAGAAAAAGTTAAGAAGCGAAGATATTGGGTATAAATGACATAAATTAACAAAGAGAGAAGATTGGAGAATACCAATCCGTCTCCTGCCGTCGCCGAATCATTACTTAAACAAAATGTAAATGCGTATACAAATAATTTTACATTTCATAAAGTATCATCAAAAGATATTGCAAAATATTTTAAAACTATTGATGTTAAGAAAACTGCGGATCTGTGGGGGATTTCCGTTGAAGTTATTGCGTCTATAATAGATACAATCGCGCCTCATCCAGCTATTATTTATAATACTAGTCCCGAATCTGGTGTATTTCCTGATTTATTGAAGCACAGTAAAGTAATACCTTTATTAAAATACCAGATTTGTATGTAAATGTTCATTAGACTCTGCCAATTTTAAACCTATTTCTGTACTACGAACACTTAGTAAGATTTTTGAAAAAATTATTCTTGATCAAATGTTAAATTTCTTTAATATAAATAATTTACTTCATAAAAATCAATTTGGTTTCACAAGGGATCGCTGATTAAATATATCTTTTCTTTGAGAATTCACAGGATGATTTCTTATATTTACGCGAACACTACACATTTTTAAATAAAACTAAACTTACGGATTTTGTCGCGTATATTAACCTATTTTTATATTCCCGACGTTTCGGGAATATAAAAATAGGTTAATATACGCGTCCCCCGTGACCACGGGTGCTGGAAAGCACCCGAAACGTCGGGAATATAAAAATAGGTAAATTTGCACGATAAAATCCGTAAGATTAGTTTTATTTAAAAATTCACAGGATGTTTAGGGTATATTCTGTGACCTACCCAAGGCCTTCGATTGTGTTCATCATGAAACATTAATCAGGAAACTTCAACACTACGGTGTAAGAAGTGATGCTCTTAAATTAATTATTTCATATTTAAGTAAGAGAACGCAAAAAGTTGTCATTAACAGTATGAGCTCTTCCGGGTCGATAGTACAAATGGGCGTGCCTCAAGGCTCAATTCTCGGCCCCTTTCTGTTTCTTGTATATGTAGGCAGTATAGTGGGTATAGTACAGAGACTGATTTTGTAGTTAGGAATAGTAATTAATTCGTTTACACGAATTAATTATCCAACGAGTCGAGGATAAACTAGTAACGGAATACGACAAGCGCACCATTCCACGTCAGAGTCAAGACTGTCCTAACGGCGGCAGCTCCGTCCGTTTTATACAAGCTAAACGGGCGCCACCGCAGGTGCAATGGTGCAGGTGTGCGGAGCACGTGTTATTTACAAGAATTCTGTCTAACCATACCGATACCGCCGCACGTGCAATGGTGCACGTGCCGTCATATACATTAATGACTTACCTTAAATATTAGGGGAACCATGATATAGTATTATTTGCTTGATGACACTTCTTTAACAAACCTAAAATATGAACTGGAAAATTATGACGAACAATTCTTTTTGTACTTTCGTATGACATAAGTGCAATTTGAAGAGATTCATAAAATTATTGGAAGTGATATAAAAAAAGAAAATATACATTTGCGGAAGCCTATTGGTACTAGAGAAAGTGTAAAATTAAAATCTATTTCCAATAACATTTAAAGATGTTCAGTTTTTGTTTCTCCTGAAAAATTAGGACGCAATGAATTCCCCTTCTTAAATATATATACGAGTATACTTCAATGGATTATGGTTCACGAATATGTGCGCAAGCTCATATGCACTTTTTATTCCCTCACTCTCATAGTCCGATGGGACGGTAAACCGACACGAATATAGAGAGATGACACTCAATACCAATGGCTTTGTACGTTCTTTCTGAAGCACAGGGGTAAATACTCCGGGTTGCTACTGAAAATTTTTTGATAGAAAAGCCATCTGATGTTGGGCATGATTACACCTATTACTCAAAGGGTAAAGAACTGTCCTTGGTTGAGTGTAGTTTTATTTTTTATTTGTTTGCGGGTAAAGGCATTATATAGATACTTACGTAATTTTCTTTATTTACTTGTAATTAAATACCTAATTTTAGGTAGGCATTGGATTATAGTTTATATTTAAAACATTTTTTTAATATTAAAGGCAATAAGGTAATTCACTATAGTACCAATAATTGGTGATTGAGTTTAATTATTTAGGACAATCTCTTATCTGTTGTATGGGAACCAATTGTTGACTTGATAAATTCGGTAGCAAATGCGTTGTAATTTACGTTATTACGGCCATTTTGTTGCTTTTTACGTTATCAAACACAAGCGTATAGTTTACCCAATTATATTATAAGTACATTCGTACCTCCTTACTGTATCGATGAGCTGTTCATTTCCCATTATGGAAACAAAACGCGTGCACGGTGCAAGTGTCTATTAGTTTATGACGTGCTACGCGTAAGTTAAGTTCTAGGAACACACTGGTTCAGTACATAAAAAGTACTTTGTACTCTGTCGTACGCGTGGAATTGCATACGAACATCCCCTCCACCTTCCCACGCTGATCTAGACATCGCACATCGACGTTGCGTCTGACGCGTGTGATTGCGTTGCATATGATAATGGTAGGAACAAACTAGTCCCACATACGCAACGTATGCAACGCATAATGACATCTGAACGCTTGATTTTCTATGAAAAACTATATACTAGAAACACACTTTTCGTATGCAACGCAATCACACGCGTACGATGCAACGTCGATCTGCAATGTCTAGATCGGCGTGGGAAGGTGGAGGGGATGTTTAGACGCAATCCTACTAGTGTTGCTAACTTAGTGGATTTTCCACTAAAACTGGTGGTTTCGACCCTCCTTTTAGTGGAGAAATATTGCTTTTAGTGGTGCAATATTTCTCCAGCTGATGGTTTTTTCTAGTGCGTCAGTAGAATCACGTACGTCTCGAAGTATATATCTACGCCATTTCAGAATTTACTTTTACTGTGTAGGCAAAAATGATTCATCAGACATGACGTGCGTCAGACGATCCATCCCAGTAAAATTAAAATTTGAGTTATTGGCGACTTTTGTAATTACTCTGTAATAAAAAACAAGCAGAGGAATATAATGAAATTAAATCCTTTAACTGTCATAATGAGAGTACGCTGCGGTATGAGGTTGGCAGAAAAATGCTGCAATGAAATGGAAATTCCGATAAGCATTGTAAAACAAATTATACCAATAAATAATATCAATCTGAATCTGAAGTTGATGGTGTCGACAAAAATGATTCAATTTAAATAATAAATAGATGTTGACTTGTCGATTTATAAACCGATTCGTTGCGGCACCAATTTTCGACAACTTTTAGCTGTGGCGGCGAACAAATATTTCATGACACGTCGGGCGTGTCAAGCGCCACAGACAATTGTGCCATCCGCCATGTGTAAAAGTAATGTTCTTTTTTATGCTTTATTTACTTGTTTAGACCTAATTAAGTTTATTTGACATCAAACAGAAGTTACAAATGGAAGGATACTTTTTTTTAGTGGGTAACTACGTGTTTTTTTACGCGTTTTCTTTGAAATTGAGAGAAAGTGACTTTTTTTATGAAGAGATTACAAACCTTTTGTACTATTTTTTGTTGTTATAAAAAAATCATTTATAGAAGTAGGTACAGCTAAATCACCCTGGAAACCTTGGTTTTTATTAAATTAAATTTTCACCTAATAATAACATTTGTAAATATCAAACAATGAAGAACCTTAATTTGAAAAAAAATAAGGTATAATAAAATAAGGTATTGATATTTACAAATGTTAAATATTATTTAATGTTATACAAATGTAAAAGTATAGTCGATCTGAAAACG